TAGCATAGCGATTTCCGTTTTCGTCTGCCCCTCATTCTTCTGCTTTTCAGCTTAACCGGGGGGCTTCATCAGGATCAAATTTTGATACAGAGCTCTATCTCAGATACTACCGTAAGGTTCAGCTCTGCTCCGTTGGCACGGCCCTGAGAAGCCCACCGTCTGCCTCCTTGTGGTTAACTTTCGCGTAACAGGCTTCGCGATGCGGCGTGTTTAGCGGGCGCGTTTACCGAGGCAGTGGAGGGGAGGAGGCCGGCGGGCAACTGTGAGACCCCCTGCCCCTGGTGGGTAGGCAAACCCGCAATACATATTCGTGCGTAGACCCGCACCCTTACTACTAGTATAAAAATATGGAATATAAAAAGGAGAGAACTCGCAATGATTCTTAAAAAAATATTAAACAAAAGAGACGAACTAGGTCAAAATATAAAACATGAGGAGAAAAATTACTACTTCGAAATAAAGGTAGAAAACACATTAAAAATAAACAAAAGAAATAAAAGGGTACAAAATAAAATATAAAAAAATAGCTCCAATAATGAACGACAGGGAGTATTTCGGCACATGTTGGAACTACAAGGTCTTTAAAACGAAGTACAAATAATGGTTATTGAAAAAAAAACAACCTACATAGGAAAATTAAAGTGAAAAAGAAACCTTGGCAACATTGGCGGACATACTGGAATGAAAGTAACTAAAGTACACACAAGATCATCACCGAGGACGATCGAGACGCGGATGACGACGCGCGGCGGCTTAGCGAGCCAACGGGACACGGACGAGTTCGTACCACAGAGGCAGGCTGGAGGTGACGACGAGGTGCGGGGTGATAATATATATATAAGAAAAATGGAATATACATGAAAGAACTAATAACATAAACAAAATATATAAATGGTTATAGTATGAAATCTAAAAAAAGTAAAAAGGTGAGGTACCAATAATGAATCAAAGTACATAGACAAAAAGTGCGGGGTAGTAAAATAGATGGAGACTGCGTCAGGAGGGGGCGGGTGGGGTGCACGGTCTAGGGGCGGCGGGGCGACGTACGGGCCTGCTGCAGCAGGTGCTTGGCCCCCCGTGCCGTGCGCTCGGGGAAGGGTTTGTTTTGGGATTAAACAAAAAAAGTTGCCCTCCCCTAATACTGTTGTTTATTAGCCCGCCCTTCTGCTTTTAAAAAAGCATTAAAGCGGGCTTATGCAACCGCTCTCGTGTCTGTCTGTCTGTCCGTCGTCCGTGTAGGAGGAAGGAGATGAGCTAGAGGTCTACAAATTTCAGGGTATCTTAGGGGTCACTCCTGGACACCGAAACGCCTGGTGCAAATCCTGGCAACCACCCCTAAGGGGGTGAAAGGGGGTAACAAAGATATAGGGGTTGGTCCAAAAAGTAGAAAATCAAATATTTTTTTATGGTCTCCTAAGGGGTAACTCGTGAAAGTAGAGCCCTATGGGGTCGGGACTGTTTGACAAACAATATACAATCTAGAAACTGCGTAGGTTAATTTTTTGTAAGCAAAGCAGAAGGGTGGGGTGTAGTCACGGTGTTGCCCCGTTACAGTCTTTTGTCATGTCCAAGGAGCAAATTTCTAGGGCCGCAGGCCCACCACAGGACGCTTTATTTTTACTCAATATGCAAAGTGATTTACCGGTCACATTATTTATTTGATGATGCACTTCAGTAAATCGCGAGACTGGAATGGTCGGGCCGAAGGCCCGACCATCGCCGCCGGCAGGCCAAGCAGGCCCGGCCCCTGCCGAACGGAGTTGCCGGCGCAGCGAAGTGGAGCTGGCAACTCCGTTTGGCGGAAGGGCGGGCCTGCTTGTTACATATGTAAAGGGGGATACTCTAGCTCGGTGATCTATGTTAGGGTACCTCCCTCCAAACATGGATCAAAATTCGCGGTCATGGGGATTCCCTGTAGCTCCTAGAGTATTGGAGCTAGAAACTTAATTCCCTCGGGATACTTTCCCAAAGGGTTCAAACTACACAGCAACGACAAAAAATTATGCTCATCACACTTTTACCGACCCAAAAACCACGGTTTTCTGAAAAATGATCCATGTTTGGTAGGTTTACCCTATTTTCAAATAAAATTCTAGGGCCCGTACATAAACGTGCCGGAGCACGCAGAGCCGTGTCCGCCCGCTCTCCTCGACATTCCTTTTGACCTGAGTGTCCGTCTAGTCCGTGATCGTCAGGATGTCCACATCAAATACGTCTTCGCCAACTTGACACTGAATATCAGCTTTGATGATGACTTGGAGGCAAGTTAATGTCCTCAAATGATCCTAAATATAAATAGAAATTTCTGGTTTGCACTCAAATCTTTTACTTTCTCCTGCTTTTTGTTTCAAAAGCAGTATGTTGTTTAGAAGTTTTGGTTTGTTTACCTTACCACATCCTCACCATTCTCTCTAAGATATTGAGGACAAGCCAGTTCATTGAGATTGTTTTTACTGATTTGATTCAAGTCTCATGTCGTGTTTTCATCGTGGAGCTCTCGTGGAGGCTGGAAAGAAAACGCCCTGCGGATGAAATTCAAGCGCACTTGCACCTCTATCCAAACATACCTGCCCAAGATTTGGGCTCAGATCATGGCCACCATCAGACGAGACGATGGTCCGCTAGATTCATCGGTAGCTAAGTGCCCTCTACAGCCGGTAAGATATACGCTTTGCAAACGAAAGCGAGGAGTCTTTCATAATTTTTCAATCATCACCAGGGCTCTGGTATACCAAAACGTGAGCGACTCAATCGAATGAAGCATTCCGGTAAAACTGAATAGGGTGTTCCAGGCAATCTAAAACGGAAGTAGGAAAAGAACAAACTCACTGACCTCTCTGTTTCCGTAATGTCTCTGATTGGTCGAGCTTATCACGTGCCTCCGAGGCCTTTCAGGTATGAGAAACTGTCAGATCAGATTCGAGCCCCCCTTCACATTTGAGAGGTTAGGATCGGACCAAACTGCCATGGTTGTGTGAGTTTGTTCTTTTTCACTTTCGTTTTAGATAGCCTGGAACACCCTATTGCAGAAGAATGCAAGAAAACGGAACCCTCTATGTTATAGCATAGCGATTTCCGTTTTCGTCTGCCCCTCATTCTTCTGCTTTTCAGCTTAACCGGGGGGCTTCATCAGGATCAAATTTTGATACAGAGCTCTATCTCAGATACTACCGTAAGGTTCAGCTCTGCTCCGTTGGCACGGCTCTGAGAAGCCCACCGTCTGCCTCCTTGTGGTTAACTTTCGCGTAACAGGCTTCGCGATGCGGCGTGTTTAGCGGGCGTGTTTACCCAGGCAGGCAGTGGAGGGGAGGAGGCCGGCGGGCAACTGTGAGACACCCCCCCCCCCCCCTCTAGTGGTCCTCCACATGAGGAGGTAGTGAGGGTGACCGCCAAGACGTGCACAGTGGGTGGGAAAGCAGGGGCGCCGGAAGTGGGGGGCAGGGGGGGCCAAATGCCCCCCCTGAATCGGCTGCGGGCCCTTTCGGCCCGCGAAGCGGGCCCTCTCTTAGTCTGCGAAGCGGGCCCTTTAGGTGCTTTTGGGCCTCCGAAACGGGCCTGATCAACCGACAAGAGAAGCGAAAACTTGGGAAAGGGGCCCCGCGAGGCACTGGAGGTGCCCTTAGGCAGACCCCAGTGGACAAAAAAATGTCCAAGTCATGTCAAGTCAAGTCAATTCACAAATATGATGTCATTTTAACGTCATTTGGAGTCAGAATGATGTCAAAATGACCTCAAATTGACTGAAAATGACGTCAAAATGACAGCATATTTGTGAAAAGACTTGACAAGACTTTGACTATATTTTGTCCACTGGGACAGTAAAAGCACTTAGAGATAAATTGCAATTTATTTGAAATATCATTTTGAACACAACTTTGCAAAAACCTGCATTTTGGTCATTTTTAAAAAGATAAACGCTTTTCGAAAAACCGGGCCCTTTTGGAAAAATCCGGGCTCTTTTGTTACTCCGCCCCCCCTGCAAAATCAACTTCCGGCGCCCCTGTGGGAAAGGGGTCCTAGGCGCAGATCTGGAAGGAGCGACTCTGCGAGGGTGCACTGTATAGGGTATTTCGGGTAAGCTTGGCGCCGGAAACGGGAGGCGATGATAACGCTGGTTCGCTCTCAGCCTCATGGCTTCTGTATCCGTGCGTCTGATGTCAATTGCTCTGCCGCGTTTGTTAGCCACGACTTCAGGCTTCAGATTATTGTGATTGCGTATTATTATGCCAGCGAAATTGTTTTGAATGATATTCTCACTCTAAAAATCAAGATTGAAATCCAGACCACCCCCACCCCCTAACCTAACGCCACTGTGCAGTTGGACAGCAGACGACCGGATCTAGAAGACGAGAGGCTGAGATTCAGCCAGCGCTATCCTCACCTCACCTCTCGTTTCCGGCGCTTCACTTGTCCGGAATACCCTATTCTCCTCCATTACCCTAGCCAGAGGAACCATATATTCCTTCGTTTAAGTATCGCTACAGACAACGCATACCAAAGAGATGAACATAAAGAGTGACTCCGAGGTCGGGCCCATGCCCAAGACTCTACCCGGGAAGGTGTCCCGAGGAATCCCTCGATTACTGACCGGGTGAGCACTCAAATTGGTAAATAAAGTGTTTAACAGGCGTGCACATTCACTTGCTCAACATTATCTTTCACTCGTTAAAGTATTGGGATAATTTAAAACTTTGACGTGTTCAACAGTAAATTTGATCACTCTGAGGCTCAAATAACCAGTCAAACACTTTAAAGCGTGAAACATAGTGTTGAGCACTTTCATATGAACGCCGGTTGAACGCTTTATTTATCAGTGCACTCCCCTCTCTATATGGGCCACCCTTTGAAATCAACATAATAAATCAGGAAACATTACTTTCCAAGTACCGATCTTTAATCTTATCGATGGGCCTTGAAACCGCCAAAAACGTCCTTGAAAACAAGTATCTGCTCTTAAGAGATGTTAGCTTATGCATTTATCTTTGTTACAGGGGACGTATTACATTCAAAATCTGTCTTCTGCTTTGTTAAATACCAATACGCTCCCCTTTATGTTTTATGGTAAATGGAGAGTTGATGCCAAGTCTGTCCACACTAAAACGCAGAAGTGTGCAGCATGTGTACGGGTATATGACGACATAATACCCAAATTTACCTGATTCTGAACGTGCAACTTAAAGCACTTGACAGATTGCGGGTCTGCGAACTTTTACGCCTTGCATCTCACGAATTTTCATTTTGTTAATGGACCATTTTCATTTTTTGGACTCAAATTGGCCCAAAATTTGTCTATGTCAAATTTACATGGGTCTCGGTACAATGCGGAAGTTTTTAAAGGTTTGTTTCGTCAGCCAAGGTAATGTAGACGATAATTATAGCACTAGATCACCGTAGTCATGTGAATGTAAGTGTTTACTCTAATTAAAAATAAGGAGCAAAGAAATTAGGCAATCTGTATAGAACTTCTTTTTATTTAATAAATCAGCCACGTACAGAAGTCGAAAACGGAAGTCACCATGTTACAGCATAGCTACTGTTTGCCTTTTCCCCGCATTCTTCTGCATTACATTTCTTCTACATTCCATTTTTCTGTATTACCGGAAGCCTCATTGCACACGGTCAGCAAGGTACTTGTGAGAGACAGAGTATCCAAACATAGGGCACGTGCCGATGAAATGGGCTCTGGTGGTCGTGCTGGCGGCATAGAGCCTGGCGGCGACAGCGACCTCTCGCCCAGCGGGAGGCTGAGGCGGTGGAGGAGCACCGCCGCTTCCTCTAGATGCTCCGTACCCGCTGGACACAGCCGGCGCCTGGGCCCGCGGACAACGCTGCAAACCTTGACGTCCTGACGAGCAGCCTGCGGAAGACATGGACCTCTATCGCTGTAAGGTCACCTAGAAAACGGTTCCGTTGATTCAATGGGAAGAAATGAAATTGTTCTCCTGACTCTTTGGAATTTTACTGTTTCAGGGGAAACATTTCCATTGGGTAATGAAAAATCGCTCTAAGTTGCGGAAAACTTCCATCTTATTTTTCATTGATAAAATTGCCATTGACTTAAGAGATTCTCTATTTAATGAAACCAAAGCTTATTCAAAACCAGCTTTGGAAACAAATTTAATTTCATACCCTTCGATCACAGTGTTCTGACTGACACTTCCGTTCGAAAGTGGGCGTATGCCGGCCGGATGCAGATGCGCCGTGCAGTAGCCCAGGCTGAGGGCCTCGCACGAAAAATAGAAAACAACAAAATACAGCAGGATACTCTTTCTCTCAGAAAATTTGATGGTTCCCAATTTTCACCAAACTTAGTTAGCAATTTTCACTAAGGTGCCTTAACACTTCACGTTTTTCTTGTGGAAAGGTAATATAATCATTGTTTCTCTAAGTATTAAGTAAAAAAACTAGGAAAAAAGTAAATATTACACTCTCACAAAAAATAGAGAATGTTAAGGCGCCTTAGAGGAAGTTGCAAGCCAAGTGTGGTGGCGATCGGAGAACACAAAATTTCGCTGTCAGAGTACCGCTATTGTGCTAAAGTTTGTAGTTATCTTTGATAACAGTAGGGTGGGAAACAAAAATTGCTACATTTGTTTTGGATTACTGAAAAAACTGATCTTGAAACAGGTCTTGTTAGGAGTGCGGAGGCACGGCTGTGAATCTCTCGCAGTCCGTCTTTGGTGACGCCGCCACTGAGGTTCAAGACCTTTTTAAGAATCCTGTCGAAAACATCAAGCGGTGGCCTGCGTTGAAGCACGCATCGGAACGGGTTGGTAGGTGTGTTCAAGTAAACCTAATAAAGCATTCCGGTTAAGCTGAAATGCAGAGGAATGCAGGGAACAAGAAAACGGAAGTTCCGTGTAAAAGCATATATTTCCGTTTTCTTCTTCCTCGCATTCTTCTGCATTTTGGCTTTACCGGGACGCTCTATTTCAGTTTTCTTTGTTTTTTAAACAGTCTTACCTATGATTTAACTGATCTATTTAAAATAATTTCAGATAACACGAGTTTAAACGATACGCACCCGAAAGTAAGAATGGTACCATTTCTTGAAACGAACCCTCGCTTTCGCCAAGAAGGATGTTATTGGCCATCAAAAATTTGTATCTGCAAAACACGCCCATCAAAAATGGTAAATATT